GAAAGAGATGGTAATCTGATGGTGCCATATCTAGAGAATTTGGGGTGGGAGGAACCTCCCAACCCAACTCCATAATCTTGTGTTGCGTCAAAACGTGCTGCACGTGGACGTGCATTGTCGTGGAAAAGAAGAACACCTTTCCGATTGACGAGTGAAGGGCGTTTTTGATGAAGGGCTTGATTTAAATGTTCTAGTTGATGACTATAGATCTCTGCATTGACAATTCGTTGTGGATTGAGGTGTTCGAAATTAATTACTTCTTTAATGTCCCACCAAATGCAAAGCACCACTTTCTGCTTATGGACTCCAGGTTTTTGGGTCAGAAGTGGTTTTTGTCTAGGACTGAGTCATTGTTTTAGGCATTTAATATTCGCATAGAGAGTCCATTTTTCATCATCGGTGACACTTCTATCCAAAAATGGTTCACGCACATTACGCGCCAGAAGAGACGAAGCAACTTTCACATGTTGGATACGATGATCATCGGAGAGTTCGTGAGGAGGCACCCAAACACCTTATTTAAGGAGGTTTTCCATATTCCTTAGATCTTTAAGTATTGTTTCATGAGAGAAATGCAATTTCAGGGCTATTTCACGAGTGTGTTATCTTGGGTTAGGACTCAACAAGCGTCTTCAGAGCATAAATATCAATTTATCAATTCCAACATGTCGGCCCCTGCCATCACTGTAAGGGATTAGAGTATACTAAACTTTGCACATTATATAGGCTACACTAACGTGAAGTTTAGGCGGTTTGTTTAACTATTATACGTGATGTACGTTGTTATTTTTTTTGTGTGTGGGGGTGGGGGTGGGGTAATGAAAGTGTCATTAATTTCTTGACGACCTAATAATAACTTATTCTAGAACAGCTGCTAAAAATCTTCGATGAAAATTGCAATTAATAATCATTAATCTTAATTTTGAGTGAAAGGCATATCAATTGGTTATATTCGCTGTCATTGTTTAAAGGCATGCCAAACTTTGTTTATATTCAATGATAGGTGATAGGAAAAATATGAGAAAAATATTATGGTAGAATAGTTTTCATATAAAACAACTAAGATACGTCGCTTTAGGGGAGCATTCAGATCCGTGTGTGCAGTATAGTTCTAAAAACAAACGATATTTATTGTTAGAGCATAATTCTGAAAAAAATAATAGCATTTTACTATTTTGTTCAGGTCGGATGAGTTGTCTTCTTTCTATATAACAAAGCTATAAAATCTCAAATATTGATGCCATGTTTTACTTTCAAAATGCACTATGCTGCTCATTCTATTATCGATTCAAGAAACCCATATATATCTCATTGATATTGATAAAACTTGCTTATATAAAAACTGAAACCATAGCTTTTATGTCAAAAAATACAAAGTACACAAAGCTTTAGACTGCAGGATAACTGAGA